ATATATTATAGATTTAAATATATTTTAAATACTTATAGAATAATGAATTTAGTTCCTTTAAACTTATAAATTTTTATTTGAGTTAATCACCTATACACTGCCAGTGTAAAAAAATTTTACAGTGTCAACTAATTATATCTTTTAATTGTACCATGTCACTCTATAAACACATTAATTTTTAACAATGACATGACACAATTAAAAGATATAATTGGTTGCCAGTGTAAAAAAACTTTACACTGGCAGTGTATATGTGATTAACTCTTTTTATTTTCTATTTGTCTAAAATTTGAAAATAATATTTTTGGTTTCTATAAAATATTTTTTATTTTCATCATTCTAAAATTTAAATTTATTATTTTATTCTCTAACAATTATTTTAAGATAAATATAAAATATTTATTTTAAAATTTTTAAAGAAACTTTTAAAATGAAATTTGCTAACATGTAATGATATATCATATATGTTTCACTCAATTTTCAAGTAAACATACAATTAAGTAATTATAATAATGTTCAAATAATAATATGGACTATTGACAGTAATTTCAAATTTTAGAAAGAAACATTTGTATAAGGACAAAAATAAAAATATGTTTATTTTAAAATGATTAAAAGCATATTTAAATTCATATATTATTTTGAGAAATGAGGATTATAAACACACATTAATGTATTATATTTAAGTAATTAAAATTAAAAAAAAATACACAACTTTTTCACTTATAATAACATCACTGCTAAATAAATTTTGATTTTGTTATTGGTTTTGATGATAATTAATCTTTGTTGAGAAATTTGATTGGGTCACTTTTAGTGTGATTTGTGACATTTATCTTTCTAACCACATGTTTTTATTATACAAAATTCAACCTCAAAACTTTGTACCGAATCCTATACCAAATTTTTTTTTTTGGAATTTTTTTATCATCCATCTGATTTAATTTTTTTTACTGTATATTTCAGGAAGACAGAGTTGAATTTGAGAAGGCCTGGTGTCCAAGTCCAAGTGATTGGTATCTTTGTATCAATAATGGGAGCAGTCGTAGCTGAATTCTTCAAAGGACCCCTTGTAAGACCATCTTCTCACCATCTTAGACACACTAAACAACTTCTTGTCTTCTCTTCAACACCAGAGTTTTGGCTTCTTGGTGGTGTTTTGCTTGTTGCAGCTTCCTTCTCAGTTTCAATTTCCAACTTAGTCCAGGTACCTCTTTTCTTTTTTAAACCCTTTTTTCTATTCTTAAAATCCGCTTTTCTTTTGGAATGAATAATCTTGGTGATGATTCAAGTTTGTCCTTTTTCACCATGATAGAAAGAAAGTTTCAAGCAATATCCAGAACCAGTGAAGGTGCTTTCTTATTCTAGCTTAGTTGGGACAATCCTCAGTGCAATAGTCTCATGCATAGTGGAGAGAGACATAAATGCTTGGAAGCTAAGGCGTAGCAAGGATCTCATTCTCATTGTTTTAACTGTGAGTATATATCAACATAATTGGATATCATTTTGAGATATAACATGCATAATTGAAAAACAGCAAAACCTACATAATTACATATGCTGATGAGAAATGTGTATATAGGCAGTAGTTGGGGGTGTGATTCGTCCCAATATTCAAATATGGTTCACTCGCATGAAGGGTCCACTTTACGTCTCACTTTTCAAGCCCTTTGGTATTGCCTTTGCCACTACTTTTGCAGTTTCCTTCTTTTCTAACAGCCTTCATTATGGAAGGTACTTTTACTTCTTCACCCCACATATATGGATATTTTTATGCATGACAAATTTGGTTCACTTAATTTCTAGTAACACAATTGTGCAGTGTAATAGGAGCAACTGTACTTGGAGTGGGGTATTATATAATAATGCATGGAGAAATCAAAGGAAACGAAGAAAAGACAGGCTGTGACGAAAGCTCATCAGATTCTTTGGACAAGAAGATACCTCTTTTGCAAGAACATATGCAAGTGTGAATAAAACTAGGAAATGTTATAGGCAGAGGAATTCACCTATTTTCAGAATCTTCCTCCGTATCATATCGTTTCAAACTGATTGTGATAGAAGTATCTCCCATGTTGCAAATATTTCAATTGTAATTAACTCCAACTGTATAAATCATGAAATGTGTAAGTAGCATATGCACAAGAAAAAGGTGATGTGGAATTTGAGACCTTTATATATTTTCCTTCTACAAAAAATTCTTTCTGTATTTGTAAATAATGTATCTTGTAATATGTGATCCACAATTTATTGTGGAGTGATTCAAATGGTTATGTAAGAAAAAAACCCATTGAATCGAAGGTGAAACCTCACCATTTCTTTTTCTCTTCGTTTCTTCTATTTTCTAATTTTAAAAAAAATAATAATCAAATAAATAGATAAAGTTGATGTATACTTTAAGAAGTGTGAAATACTTTTAAAATTTTAGTTAAAAAAAATGGAGAGTGTACTAGATAGGCCATTCGGCCACACCACTCAATTCTAGTATCATTTGATATTCGGCCAATCGGCCAGTTTGCTAGACCAAACGGCCATACCTTGGGGTGCCCTCTGCCCAAGAAGCCCAATAGTTTGGCACCTTCAGTAGCCGAGGGTCGATTGACTATTGGACAGATCATGCATCCTTGCCCCTTAGTATCATTCGGTTATTCAACCAATCGGCCAGGTTGGCTAGGCCAAATGGCCATACCTCAGGCACCCTCGGCCCCAAGAAACCCAACAGTTTGGCACCTTCCACAGCCAAGGACTGATCGATGTCATCACCTTCCAAAGACTAGTATATCCCCAATCAAAAGGGAATAACCTAATGGGTATTAATTACCCTTAATCATTGATTAACAGCTAGTCATGGACATAAAGTAAATTACAAGTGTATTACCTAATTTGGTAATCCTAGCACAGGGCCTATAGAAAACCGAGTCCATTAATGTCAGTATAAATAGTTCACATCTTGAGGTAAAGTCACTGTTCATTTATTATTATCAATATTTGTGTTTGTCCTGACTTGAGTGTCGAAGTGCCTTTTTGCATGTACCTCCCCCCATCGGAATATCTGCTCGGAGCTCTCGTTCGGCCTTTAGACTGAGAGAAAATTACCAGTGTGCCCTCTAATAGGTATAGAGAGTATCATTATCACTTGTTCTGGTATGAAACCTCCTCTAAAAAAATTTAGCGGTTGTGTTAATTTAGAAGATTCAATGAGTATAAATATTAACCTTTTTTGAGACTTAAGAGCCCCTATATATAAATTTAGGTGATATCATGTACATGAATCCCTTATTTCTCGCTATAATCTCACGAATCATGTTGTATCCTTATTAACATTAATATATTTATAAATGTTGACATTTATGAATGTTATCATGCCTATTTCGTAAATCATATATAGCGTCTTGTCCCCAACTAATTGTAGAAGGAACAATTCATAAGTCGACCAAGTTTTGTCATGTGGCGTATTTGACGAATCAATCAGTCATCAATCGGAGGGCCTATTCAGTTCACTTGGTTGATAGGAGACTAGTATAGCACACAAATCTCCAGGTTAAGCGCTAAAGGTATGAATAGTCTAAGAGATCGGTGTAATCAATTGTTGAGAGATCTGTACGGTACACAACCCTCCAAACTCGAGTGCCAAAAGAGTGAAAAGTCTAAGTGATCAACTTACTCGCACTACAAAAAAAATTGGATTTAGCGACCACCAAAATCGGTCGCTAAATTGCTAAAATCGGTCGCTATTTGCCTTAGCGACCGAATTTAAGTAGTCGCAAAAACCCTAATCGCAAAGCTATATAGCAACCAAAAAAATTTCGGTTGCTAAGAAAATTTTGGTTTAGCGACCGAAAATTTTGGTCGTTGTTTAGCAACCAAAAATTTCGATCGCAAAATGGTTGCAATGATTTTGGTCGCTGATGTGCATGGGGACCAAATTAGTAACCGAATAAATCGGTCGCTAAAGATTTATTTTTTATTTTATTAAATTTTATAGACTTTGCAAATTCGGTTGCTACAAAATACTCATATTTGGCCTCTCAAGGATTCTATTTCACAATACTTCACTTTTCAGCATGTTTTGTCCTTAATTACACAATTTTTGGGAAACTTCCCAGAAGGTCACCCATCCCTATATTACTCCAAGTCAAGCACGCTTAACTGTGGAGTTCTTATGAGATAAGCTACAGAAAGGCATATGCATATTATCAGTATAGGTAGTACAAATTAATTCATTTAAGTCATCCTCAAATATACAATCTCATACTTATACTATCTTTGGATCCCTCTCATTTCGGTGTATCCGAACCGTTATAAAAATATAATAATATATTTAATAATTATATTACCAATAATAATAATTATATTATATTTAGTTAATCATTATTTATATATACTTACTTTTATAATTAACAATCTACTTATTTCTATTTAAAATTAATATTATGATACAATTTAAATTATCTATTATAAATTTAAAATTTAAATAATAATGTTTATATTTTAAAATGAGAAGGGTTATAATAACACTGGTATAACTTTTACTAAGTATTACATTGTTCAATAACTTTATATTAAATGTGAATTTTGTAAATCCAACCGTTAAATTGAAAGTTCATATCACTTTATATGTTTATATCAAGTTTTGTTAAAATTGAACAACAACTTGAAGGTAATCAAAGTGCTCATATTTTAATATATTTTGAAATGTATATGTTACGTCAATTTTATTTTACAAGAATGAAGTATCAAATCATCTTGAATTCATATAAAATTTTGTATATATGATCTAAGAGTAAAAAACTTTCAATCTAACGGTTGAATTTATAAAATTCACATTTAATATAAAGTTATTGAGCGATGTAATACTTAGTAAAAGTTACACCTGTGTTATTATAACACTTCTCTTTTAAAATATTATTTTTATAAATTAAATTTTAACATTTTAAATAAATTATTAATTAACTTAATATATTTATTCATCTTAAATCTAAGATATAAAATTCAAAAAATGTATCTATTCTTGTTTTATTTTGTAATTATCAACGATTAATAAAATACTAATTTAAAATCTTGTCAAGTTATATCATAATATTTTCATATCAAGTTTAAAACCAGATATTAGTTATAAAATATGTTAATTTGTGTTGGAATTTTATTTCAACATGAAACTTTAAAATAAATGTGCGAATAAAAAAAACTTCGTTAAAACAGTCACATATTCTATTTGATAGAGAAAAAAGCTAGGAAACGCATTGTGATGTATTAAAAACTGGTGCTAGGCATATTTTCATACATTCAGAATTTTATGCCAGAGTTTGCATATAAGATCCTATTTAGATACAAGATTAAAAATGGTTTTGATAACTTTTCTTCTAGAAAAAATTCTTTATTTTTCAGCAAAGAAGCTCTAAAAATTATTTCTAACTTGTATCAAAACTGATTTTAAATCAGCTAAGCTACGGGAAAAGCATATCTAAGGTTCTGATATCATACCTTAGAGGCATGTTTATACACACACATGAGAAAAAGGAATGCTTCTTCACAAGGAAGGAAAAACCCTTCATGATCAAGATTTTCCATGACACATATCCAGTTGGTTTGAGGTGCCTGTATCAGAAAACACATAAAAATGAAATGATTTACTTTCTTATTCAAAAGGCAATAAAAAAATGAGAGGAACTTTAAGTCCTATTGAATAAAACTCACAAGATGGTTAACTGTATCTACCAAGACATCAATATTCCAAGAGTTAAGAGGTGGCAACTCAGACACGTTGGATCCATTGGCTGCAGGGAATGTTAAGTATGTGTTCTGGTTTTCCTCCACCCCAGTACGACTATAAGCAATTGCACCAAGTAATTTAGATAGCATATTATCAGTTAGAGATGAGAATGGAGAAAATATCTCCTTGCACTTTGAGACATCAACCGTGCATCCATAGCCTTGTTCCTTCACAATATCTCCCATGTTTATTTCCTTCTGCATGTCTTCCAAAATAGCATCAAAATCATTTTCTCCACACTTGTGGAACAACTCCATCTTCCTGTAAAATGATGGATAACTAATTAAACATCATAACTGAATTAATTACTATTGATAACTAATAATATACAACCAATATATGATTGTATTGAAAAATGGTTGCCAGTTTTATGTTAACCACTTATTTCAGTGGTTAAATCAAATACTTTTTCAATATCATTGACCCAATGATGTGTAGTTAACTTAATAAAATGGTAATAAGGATTACTAAATACATTACCACCTTAAATCAGCCTCATGCATCTCTTCAGGAAGCAATGGAGTCAAGGCAAAAGTTGGCTTGTCTTTGAACTTCACAAGTGATAATATCTGCATAAAGGAAACCATGTGCTTGGAAAGACCCTTAGACTGCTTTCGGAACATGATAATTTTGTGAATTTGCTCATTGCAACTCCAAGAACCAGGATTGACAAACAATTCCTCAATCCGAGCCATGCAAAAAGATTTGCCTATACACCAGCAATATTTCAGGTCAAATATACTATATATAAACGGCAAAATAATATTGACACAGTATAGATGATATAGAAATGACCATGAACATTATTAGTCAAGTAAAATGTAACTTCATACTTACCACCCAGCCTGGCATCAGGATTCTCAGAATCAGATAAAACAAGACTGATAATAATTTTTTCCATTAAAGATAGCTTCAATCCGTTGCATAAACTTTCTAAAAGGCTTTTTTAGCGACCGATTTTAATTTGGTCGCTAAAATTATTATAAGTAATATTTTTTTTAGCGACCGATCTTAATTTGGTCGCTAAAATCATTATAAATAATAATATTTTATTTTTTTAGCGACTGATTTTAATTGGGTCGCTAAAATTATTATAAATAATAAATTTTTTTTCGCGACCGATTTTAATTTGGTTGCTAAAATTATTATAAATAATAATATTTTTATTTTTTTAGCGAACGAAACCCGTTCCGTCGCTATTTTAATCAACAATCATTATTTTAGCGACCGATTATTTCACTACAAGAAAAACTGTTATTATCTACGGAATATTACCTACAGAATTTTTTCCATAGGTAATATTTAGTTATCTACGGAATATTACCTACGGAATTTTTTCCGTAGGTAATTTTTAGTTATCTACGGAATATTACCTATGGAATTTTTTCTGTAGGTAATGTTTGGTTATCTACAAAATATTACCTACGGAATTAGTTATCTACGGAATATTACCTGCGAAATTTTTTCCATAGGTAATTTTTAGTTACCTACGGAATTTTTTCTGTAGGTAATTTTTAGTTACCTACGGAATTTTTTTCGTAGGTAATGTTT